AATTACTAATTTACCAATAGGTGTTTAACATACAGGGTTATTGGTAATTAGACGTATCATTTGTAATAATTTTGACCCCTATATGCAATATCCAAAAGTTAACCGTTTTCGAGTAATCTAGATCTTTCGATTTTTTCAAAATAAGTCGAAATTGCAACTTCAAATATTTATTTAAAAATAAACTATCCATGAAAACTTAATTTTTTCTTAGTCTTAGTCTTAGGAACTTAGTCTGCAGATTTTTTTTAAAACATACCCGTTTCCTCCTCACTGTAATAAACACATGATTTCAAAGGAATCGGGCGGTATTCGTACTCGAACTAATGTTGGTTTTGAAAACTCCCATAAAAGTATTTAACCATAACAAACGTAAAATAAACCAAAAATACAAGTTTAAATAAATTGAATTAATGAAATTAACAATTAAGATATTTTGAAGTTTCCCCTCGGCCATCCAATAATAAGGAAAATCGCAGCTATCACCTATTCTATTCTATTTTCTCTTTATGGCTTTCCCTCAGCGGCTTTGGATGTGAAGGTCATCCGTCCTTCTTGTATGTCATGCTTTGTCCTGTTACCAAAGGTGGGTTTTCGAAGAGATTGTTTTAATAACAGTTATTTCTTAAACTTACTGGTTCTAAATTTTATTATGAATTTGTGTTTTTAGTTTATTTGTCGTTTGGCATTGCTTTTAATTACTTTTATGTGAGTTTTCAAAATCTACCGTAACTTTAGTTCGAGTACGAATACCACCCGATTCCTTTGAAATCATGTGTTTATTTCAGTGACCTGGGGACATGTTCCTGGTTATTATGCATTTTTGGAGAGCTTAGGAAACGGGCATGTTTTTAAAAAAAACCTGCAGACTAAGTTCCATGATGATTTTTTTTGTTTTTAAGGCATTTCAATGGATGAGAATCTCGAAAAATATTGAATAATTAATTACTATGTTATATAATTACTCGAAAACGGTTAACTTTTCGATAATGCATATAGGGGTCAAAATTATCACAAATGATCCCCTCTATTACCTCCTAACGGGAATACGTCTAATTACCAATAACCCTGTATATTAATGTTTGACTAATTACAATAAAAATAAAAATATTAATAATTAAGTTAATATTACAATAAAAATATAAATATTAATAGTAAAGGCTGAAATGATGATGATGATGATGACGGTTTACATATTATCTTAACATCCGCATCCGCATCCGCATCCGCGGATGTGAGCCCTCAAAACTCCGCATCCGCATTCGCATCCGCGGATGTGAAAAAATCAACATCCGCAACATCCCTGGTTTATACCGAGGAGAGTAAGAATTTCTTACAGCAATTTCAGTTAAATTTGTTCTCTTCTTTTGTTGAGTTTATTTAAGCCTCATTTAAGTTAATTTAAAGCCTGTTTATTATAATCTAAATTGTGTAAGAACATAATAAAACTGTTAATATTTGGATCTAATAAAAATTCCTTGTTAGAATAAATTAAATTGGATTACAACTTATTAGTGGTACATTATAATTCTTCAATTCAACTAATAGTTGACATAAGACTTTTCTTGATTATGTAGACAAGTTTAGGACTCGAGTCAATAAACATCACTCAAGTGGCAATTCGAGTGATAAAGTTACGAGTACCGAGGGACTCGAGTGAAAAAATATCACTGGAGTCCCATCACTACTAGCGATAGTAAAACAGAGTATGAAAAAATATTTTACTGGCAACACTAAAAGACAAATATAGTCTGACAGTTGACACATAAAGTGCTCAATCGATTATTTAAATTGGTCTTCTCTTGCCTGTTTTGTCTTTAGTTTGGTCATAAAGGAGTAATTACGTGTGTTAAAATCAAATTAGTTTGTGCAGTGCTAACATTTAAAGCGCCAAATACAATTATGGCTCAAGAGACTGTGAAAAATATGTAGGAATTGTTCTTTTTACAACAGAATATCTTGTTCTAGAAAATCTCATACATCAAGTATTGATTTTTAAATGGCGCATGTATTCTGAAACGTTTGCACATTTACTTTACATCTATTTTGTTCTTTTACATTACTGTATATCTTATTCCTCAATACCTCCTTCATCCTAATAGATTTTTATTCTTGGTTTTCGGTATATTATTTTTCTGTCAGTTGTGATTTGTATTACCAATTGATTTATTGTAGATGCTGCGCAATTAAATTAATGTAAATATTATTCGCAATATGCTTTGATGTATGTTGCAGAAGCCTGACAATTCCGTTTAGGACACCAAATGAAGCAATAATTGCTTATGAGATTATAAAGGTTGATAAGGATCTGAAGGGGAATAAAGTTAAGAGATATGTGACGTTAAACAATACGGAGCTCGCAATGTTCGTACTTTTCTATCTTTTATTTTTTTTTCTTTCCAACATTTTGTAAAAATATATTATTTTTCCAGAAACTTTGAGGGAACCGATACAAAGAAGTTACGTGTTGCTGTCAATTCTACGTTTAAAAACTTTTTACTGATCATCAAGACTTTGAGCGAATTTGGATTCGGTTAAAATCTGCACAGCAATGGCAGAACACACACCAGCACCGACCCCCGCAAGATCTTTGTATGGCTTCTTTTTATATTTATTTAGTAAGACTGCTTTGACTATTTACTGTATTTGGGCTTTTGTACCGGACTATTATTTACACTATTTCAACATCTATTATTACCCAGACAAATACTGGTCTACCGCCATACCTATACAGTGTTTGGTTGCTTTGACATTGTTTGCATTTTTAATATATCCAAGTTCTAATTTCATGCTCACTCATAACATAGACAGTTATAATACAATCGCTGATCCAGTAAAGCCTGACAGCAGAAAAAGTTGCAAAGAACAAACTAAACAACCGCAGTCTACAAATGATCAATGTATTTGTGCTGACCAACATAATTGTGTAAAGCTAAGCTTCTCAAATGTGAAAGAGAGTACTGTACCACCATTACAAGATTTAGATTTTCGCTTTGTGTGTAAAAAGTTGTACTTGAATAACCATACATAATCTATTAAATTGGATTTAACCAAAGCAAAAAGTCTAACTTCCATGCTTATGATTAGTAGTAAGTAGAATTTAGTAGAGTAGGACAAAACATATTGATAATTATTAACATGCTAGCTTGTAGGAAGCCAAAGAATTGTAGTGTATTCCAAATTTAGCATTTATTAGTTTAAAATAATGCTTAACCATTGCTATTGAATTATAATATTGTGCAATTGTTATTGCCATTAGTATCTGAAGTGATAAAATCATGTTTTATTCTATTTTATTATTCAACATATAACTGTAGTGAATAATCCATTGTAGAGATCTCTGAAATCTTCAAATAAATGTTGTCTTCAAATTTGTCTTTTATTTTACCCTTACCTTTATATTTTAATTATAATAGTTTTAAGTGATAAGTTAACACATTCTGAGCTACTACAGCCTACAATATTGCCAGGCAAGCAAGTGGCACTGAATATTAACATTACATTCAAAAAGTATATTAAACAATCGTAAAATGAAAAAAGGGAAAACTACATTAGCTTACAATCTTATGGTAGCTTTTTTTAATGTTCCAAATTAACTATAAACTTGTCTAAAATAACGTTAAATATTAAAACACCTATTTCTCAATTTTTTTAAATTACATGATACATTATTTAAGCTGAATATTGTTTTAAAATCTTTACTGCAATTAGATGCTTACAAGAAATATGTCTAAACATGTCAATCATAACAATCTCAATTATTACTAAATGATGATCGTGTATTTTCACAAGGTCTCATGAAAACTGAATAGAGGTACAATAAACTTTTGTGTAGGAACCAGTTATTTAGCATTTCCACAAAGAACACAATAAACAACAGAGGTACAGAACAAATAAATGTATTAGTTGTAAATTACAACATAATAGCTCTTAAGTGTGTAATGTCAGCATAAAGATGTGTTCTAATTACCATAAACCCAATAACATGTGCTAAATTGAACTTTATGATATTTGAGAGAGAGTTGAATCAATACTAAAATTGAGAATTACTTTTTTTCGTTTTTTCTTAGGAGTTCAATGCAGCAATTAAAATTTTGAAAAGCCTCAAAAGTTTGATGTGGATAGACATTTTATGCAAAACAGAGATACTAGTATTTTAATAGTTCTGAGAGAGTTGGCCGAATATAGATTTTTTTGCTACATGCCCAGTTATAACATATTTATACAGTGTTTCGTGCTACGTGTTTGCAGTTGACATGCGCGAACGTTCGAAGAATTCCGGGGTGGAGTCCGGTCAATTCAGATTGTAGTTACGATTTTTATTATAAAAGAAAACTAAGAGAAGAATATCAATAATATACCTGCCTAAACGCACTTAATAAGAAATAAATCAGTAAATGTTGTAGTATCAGTGAGTTTTAATACATTAATGATAAACATAAAAAAATAAGAGCCCCTTAAAATTATAGTATTTGGGTCAGTAAAAATTAAAACCAAGCTATTTATAAAGATGCATTTTTTCAGTTCGAATTTAGTATGCATAAGGATATGAAAAAAATATTCTGCGACTTTCGATTTGCAACCCTTATTATAAACAATTAACTGGTATTTAGGTCAATTATGGTTGGATGTTGTTAACCCATTACTTGTTAAATATTCATGTGTTTTATTTTACTACTAGTAGGTAAATGTTCCATTACTTCATTATCGAATATAAACTAGAAAAGTGTTATGAATAAAAATATACATTTGCATATACGTGTATGTTATAATCAATAGCTTGCTAATAACGAATACCGCTTCAATAAATAAGTTGATTACAACATTAATTAACATTAGTACTATACAAAATACTTAGCTTGTAATAACGATAAATTAAGCGACTCTGTGTGCCAATCTCAAAAATTATCCTAACGGTTCCTCATAGTACATATAACATACCTTTTGACGACGAAATTCTACTTATACATTTATAATATCTTATGTAGACTTCCTCATTTTTATACAGATCGCGTCTGAAACGCAGTTATGTTGACATCACCAATAACAATAGCCCCTAGCCACTACTTTAAAAACTCGTTGACCGTTGAGTCTACACTTTTTTGTGCATTTTTCTTTAAGTTTCAAAGTCTAAATTCAAATATTAATTTTAGATAGTAAGACTTTTAAGGTAGTTAATATGAAACATGTATTAAATTCTTATAAATCACAAAACATACACGTGAAATTATGTAGCTACTTATGAAGCTGAAGGAGTTGGAATTACGTGACGGAAATACAAGAATAGCTTTTGAATAAAATGTACAAACATCTGGTAGTCTCTAGTGAACGTACCATTTTTGTGACGGCAAAAAAGTAACACTTATATGGTCATTTTGATTGAAGTTGATTGCAATGAAGATTTTAGTAGAAAGTAATTTTACAGCATCTTAAAATATTTTTTAATTGAGCTTCGGTGGATGGTTAAATTACAATACACTCGAAGAAGGTGAAATTAAAGAAATATTATATATCTATAACGAATGATTGACTTCAATTTAATCTTCAAGAAATGCTGCTTAAAAATCTAAAACAGCTTTGAAAGGATATTTATAGATTTGCTTAAGTAAAGCTATAGGTATAAAATAATAAACTGTAAAACAAAGGAACATGATGTCATCACTAATTCACTATTTTAATTGTCTACCGAGCCGTTTAGCGGAGCTGCATCTCGTGTACACTGAACACCGAAGATGACCGTATAAATATTTGAATGTTCGTTATCGCTATACTATTAAGATTATCTCACTGCTACTTTGCGAAGCTATACGAGATAATAAAAAGATAAATTGTTTCGACTGAAAAACATAGGACTTTTCTGTTAAATTATCCGAGTCTCTTGATCCCAATTTATGTCTTATTGCACATCTCCTAATCTCCATTTTTGTCTTGCAACGTACATATCTGCACCCAATTTGTTGGTTGCAGATAGATCTACGGGGAGTGGGCTCATAACATCTCGCGAACCTCTTGACGATTTATATCCTTCTATAAAAAGACTATACAAAGGTACCAATTAATTCACTTAATATTGATCCGTACCTACATATTAGCGTTACAACTAACTGGTTCGTTTTAGTGCGTGAACGCTACAAATCAAACTATTTTACAACTTTCAAAATTTGTTGGACTCTCCTTCCTATCTTTCTAAACGGTTAAAGACACATGCGTTACTTCTATCAGTTTAACGGATGTTGATGCTATGCTACCTTCTATCACAAAGCAACAGATGATAAGAGATGACAATAATGTAGACTCGCTTTGCAGAGTCCTTGACCGAGATTCAGATATCGTAAAATTGTTGCAAAGATATAAAAGTCTTAGTAGTGTCAGTGACACAGGATAATTACGAAGTATAAAGTCGTGCCAATACCGATGAAGAACTCGCTTTGACATGATTTATGCTACTCAAAAATTAGTATGAAATGTGGGACATCGTCATCGTAGTCCCTTTGTCTGAATCTGAATATTGCTAGGTGTATTTGAATTCTCTTCATATTTTAGAGCGTTTACGTTACTTTAATTATTTAATGTAGTTATAGAAGTTAGTAAAGTTGACTGAAAATCCCTTCTACAGTTAATTGAGCTTGTAGCTCAGTTATCAGAAAGCTAGTTAAGTATGGAGTGCATGTTTTTATAATTTGATTTGATTTAGTATTTCACCAATTAACAACAATTAAATTAATTGGAATTTAAAGCAATTGATGATCGTCACACAAACAAGGGCGTCAAGACGCATATTTTATAAACGCGTCGCACAAACTAACAACGTGGAGAAACGCGACAAGCGCACGCAGTGAAGGTCGGTCCATCAGTAACAGCCATAATTAAAATGGAGGTAAAAATTGTGATAAACCTACGAGGCGTGCTATAATAAAATAATTAATGATGTAATAAAATTGGTTATAAAATTATTCATGGGAATAAATACTTGTGCGTAAAAATATCAGAGAATTTGTATAAAGTTAATGTAAATACCTACATATTTAGGTATGTTTTCCGGGTACATATATGTACGAGCAATAAACAATACATTTTAAAATTTTTGGGAGTAATCGATACTGTCAAATATCTAGATTTAAATTGAACACATACAAATTCCATGCTCTGCGATACACAAACGTTTTTCATTTTGATCCAATTGTAAAATTCTACATTTTTTTTATTTAGTGATAGGATTTTTTCAACTGTTTTAGATGCTTTGTTGAAAATTAATTGTAAGGTATTTAAAACACCTGTTCAAACGTATTGCGAGACCTATGTAACACTTGTTGGTTTGCGGTTTCAAACTTTGTATCCATCTGGGAATGTCATGTTTTTTAATTCATTATTCTAAAGTAAATGTTTTACTAAAAACATAGTCAAATAGGTGGGTATAATAATTTTGAGTTATCATTTCTAGCTATTTAGTCCTTATACCTATTATAAACATGTTATCTTACAAATGTAATTCAGTTTTAAGAGCGATTTTAAGTATGATTTTATAGATAAAATTGCTGCTGTCGTCTCAGTTGATAGCCTTAATTCTGTTTAATTTTCACGGAGTTCTGCTGCCCCCAAGCCTCGAGCCTTCGTAGCGTTATGACCTACTTTGAGAAAGGTCTGCGGAAAAATGTTATTCAAAATATTTTTTTAAACAGGAGAAAATCATTTTACTGCACTAAAGTACTACTCAACTACTACTATACAACTACTATTCAACGTTCATTGGTTTGTAATTCGTGTACCTGTAAGAACAAAAAAAATTCAAATTAAGTAAGATTACTTGAAAATAATATAGATTAATATCATCTAAATTAAAATATCGAATAAATTATCTCTTTGATACTGAAATAGGTTTGAAGTATACTATTCACATTTACACTTATATTCAAAACAGATATAATTTATTTTGAATGTAAGCTGTAAGTACTTATTTTTCTTACTTCTTTCTGATGCATGCGGTGCAGAGGTCATCATATCTTTCTGATAAGTGCTCGCTTGTTATTTAAAGAAATTGACAACAAATGTTATGCGAGAAGATACCGCACAGTTTCCTATGATATTTATTGTAGATACTCATCATCATACGAAGTAAAACTAAGAAAAAATGCAAACCTAAGTTAGTGTTGATTGCCTTGAAACGACTAGTACTTTAATATGGCTTGTTGGCCAATGCT